TGCCACAGCAGATTTCGTCGTCGCGTCTAATCGCTGCCATAACAGCGTTTCAAACGTCTTCCTGAATGTGAACATCGTAACCAAGCCAGCAGACGCTGAGGAAAATGAAAAATATGAGGTGTGTATTGTTTCATTTTTTCTCTCTAAGTACCTCTTATGCATTTTATTTGATTTTTTATTCCTCACTTTTATAATTATATTGTTTTGATTAAGTTTGAGATAAGTTCTTATTTTTTATCTGTTAAGTTGATTGAAGTGACTATTAGTGCCAGCTCTTAAATTTATTTTTTTAACAATCCGTCTATCTATTCATCAGGCAGTCAGTCAGTCAGCCCAACAATTATCCATCTATCTACCAGTGGATCATTCCTTTTATCATTCTTCAGTTGATAAACTGATTCAGGCATCAGCTGATTTGTCGACCAACAAGTCATTCCACTGGTTCATTAATCTTCCCTTTCTTCCATCCAGTAGTCGGTCAATCCATTCATTTCAATTCTAAATCTATGATTCTATCAATCCGCGCAGCCATAAACCAATCCGTTCATCTAGCCGTCCATCCTGCAGTCAGTCAATAAATCCTATTTTCAGTCAGTCAGTCACCCACTTAGCCGTTCGTCCGTTTCTCTAGGAGCCAATGCACCCACCCCATCACAGTTCACACTATCCATAAATCAGTTATCCATCCATCCATTCGTCTATCTATCCATTCGTCTGTCAGTTTATTCATCAATTAGCCCATCTGTTCTTGTATCCATTAGTCAAGTAATACATGTACCCACGAGTTATTTTATCCGTGAGTCCGTCAGTCAGTCATTTCGTCCTTCGATCAATCAGTTGATCCATAATTCCATTCATCCGCCCATTAGTCAATTTATTCACCATCGAACCCGTCCATTCAACTTCTTATTCATCTGCATGTCAGCTGGTCCATTTATCAGTGCGTATATCCACAGATTAGTGTATTTTCTCATTTACCATCCCAGTCCATGAATCCATGCACACTGTCTTCCATCCATTAGTTTACTAAATCATCCGTCAATCAGTAAATATATCTATTAATCTGCGCATCAGTCTGTTTTTACATCACCGGTTATTCGCTATTGTGCTCCTGCAATTTATGCAGATATGTTATTACGTAGTGAAGTAAAGTGCAGCACATGGCAGAAAATTAAAATTTGATCGAAATTATTGGTTAAGAGACTGATAAAAAATCTAAGTAATTTTTCGATTTCGACTCTAGGCTGTAATCTTTATGTGATTAAATGAATAAATAAATTTTTCATGCAGCGCGTGCATAAGTTTTGCGACATTTTGAAAACGAATCAGAGTGACTTTTTTCCCAACAACCAGGACTACAATAATGTAATAACGATATTTGTAAACCATTCAGGCGTAGCTATTGTATTCAGATCCCACTCACTTCTGTATCATTTCGGATCTCTTATTCAGACTCCTGTAAGGGAGCGCAGGATACTTTATTGGCCTTAGATATTTCATCACCTTTTAACACCGTTGGTAAAAATTTTTCAGATTTACAATTTAGCACCCTCGAGCTATTACCATGACGGATAGGGGAGTAAAACTGCGTCGTGCGCTGACAAACGATTTCTTACTCTGGTCGTAGTCTTCTCTCAGTGCGATAAATGCTCATGCTAACTTTCTAAATAGTTTCACTTAAATTAGTCAGTGATGACCTAAGCAACTCTGTTGTTTATTCTTCTGTTGCACTTTATTTTTTTAAATTAAAACAATGAATAAAAATGTAAAGAAACTAATATGGAACTAAAAAAAGTTTTACTTTAGCGGCGAAGTTTCCTCGAGATTTACTTGGCGACTCCCCACGAAACTGGTCTCGACAGTGACGAAAATGTCTGTCACGGTTGTTCTAAGCCGATTGGTTTTGCGTTTGGCTTCTACAGGACATGTCACTACGATGGGCATTACTACTGTTCTGACTGTCACAGTAATGATAAGTGCCTTATACCGTCAGCTGTGGTTAACAGTTGGGATATGAAGCCGAGGGCAGGTACGGTTAGAACGCTTACCGCTTACCGTTTTGGTCTGCATATTACCAGTGTAAAATTGACTTTTGCTCTAGTGTGTCGCAGATGTCGATTTTTTCTGGACGATTACATGGACCAACCGCTGATCGACCTTAACAGAGAGAACCCAAAGTTGTGTCTTGTCATTAACTGCCTTGCAGAAGTTCACGTGAGCAATACGCTGCAGATTTTTTATATATCAGCATTAACTTAATCATGGGATATTAGTTCACTCTCAGAAACAGTGTAAAATTATTTTACCTTCGAATGATGTGATTTTTTTATATATTAGTTCTGATGATATTTTCCATGACTAAAATGAATAGTCTTGATTTGCTCTGACGCAGATAATGCGGTTTCTCGTTTCTCCAAATGCTGTTACTCGAGGTGATTTTCTGTTCTTCCGCCTGAGTGCTTGTTGTCTGATTTTTTATCGCCTAAGGTCGGTCCCTCATTAGTCACTTTATCGTTAACGGATATACCATCATCATATTTCGTCCTCAAAACATTTCGTCTAATTTTGGTCGGCTGTCTCTGTTCACAGCATGTACACCATTCTTCTTTCTCATGAATTTCTATTTATAAAGCTGAAGGAAAAAGATACGGCTTTTGCTTATGTACCGTTCGATTCACAACATTTAAATTCTGGTGTAGTTGTTCTTGTAATGTTCATTTTGAAGGTTGACACATTTGCTTGTACGATGCAGTATAACAAGGTTGACACACTTGTTAAGAACGGGATAAAGTGTAATAGGGCAACTTGTAATATTTCCTAAACAAAGACTGCTCAGTTATTGTTTAGTTATTATAAGATTCTTTCATACAACGTTTGGATTAAAGCAAGGAGGAGTGGATTCCCCACTGCTGTTTGTGATTTTTCTTGGCTGGGTACTCCAGCCAAAATGACGTAGAGAAGGTGCTGCGGCAAGAGTGGCAGCATCTGCGAAAGCATTGCATTTGAAAATTATATCATTTTGCAGACAACTATGAAGCTGCGACAACAGTGTGCGTAACTTTGAAACAGGTGTTCTTATCTGAGTCTCTCGATTAGCTCAAAGGAGACACAGTGAACAGAAATTGGCAGGAGCCGGACTGGAAATTCTCTGATCCTTGATATGGAAGTTTTGGACAAGACGCCAGAATATCAGTATCTTTGGAATACATTGGCTACAGACGGAAGAGTGGCAAACGAAGTGAAGAGGACCTCGTAATTGATATTAGCAACAAGCGATGGAAAGACGAAGATACTGACAATAGCACTAGATTAGAATATAAAAAGCTTGTATTCTAAACATATTACTTTATGGCCTTGGAGATGGCAAAACGTAGCAAAGCTGGAAACTGGAAGTGATGGGAACTAAGATTTTATGATCAGCATTAAAAGCGAAGTGATATGACCTGGTGTCAAATGGCGTTTTAAGAGAAAGGTTAGAATATCTAGCAAAAGTGACCAAAAGGATGTTTAAGATAATGAGGTCACTGTCAACGAATGGATGATAGCCCCTTTACGAAGCAGATACTGAACACAAAACCTGATGGCAGGCAGCCTTCAGGAAGACTTCCAATAAAATATGGGAAAATCTCGTTAGAACTGACATGACATGGAAATGACTGAACAGTGAGCAAGCATAGGGAGGAGAAGATGATGAAGAAGGAGAATTTTTCCGTAGATAATACAATCGGTGACATTAATGTGACATCAACCCAGTATCATTAGCTGCAAGTCTTGCAGTTAGTGAAATATCAGACTAGAGTTGATCGTGATTAAAGCTAACGAAGAAAAAGTCAATTTTTTTGTTCCTGTTTTTCTGGGCATCGTGTACAGATCACATGTATATTTATGAGATCGTCGCAGTTCTCGTATTGACTTGATAGAATGTCATGTCTGTCATTCGAACTGGAATTTGGGTCTTTTGCGTGTCCCTCATGACATGAAGGGTGGCATAAGCAGTCGAAATGTGATCGAGCATGTATAGCTGTAAACCATTTCTATCATTCACATCCTTTTCTTTCTTTTCATAATCGCTGTTTCTCTCCCGCTGTCATTCATTCATGTCTTCCCTACTGTTTATCATATTTTTCCTATTTTTCTTTACGTTCCTGCAATGTGATAATTTAGTACCTATAAAATTTCTGTTTAGAAACTGCGACAACAACTCAACTATGTCTCGCTGTATATGAATTCATGCCGGCAGTTTGTTGGTGAAGACTTCCGAAAACGCTTTTGTCTGAAAGAATATTTGTACACGGATGTTAACCTCTACTCTGTGATGGTAAGTCACGAATACGGCCGGCCTTGAAGTGCCGATTCGTCTCCTTTTTTGTGCCTTACACTTTTTCATTTTCTTTCGTTCGTTTTCTTTCCCTTCGTTGCTTTCACAGACAACGTTGCCCCTCTTCCATGGTTGGGTTGTTAAATTGGTGCAGCTTCCGATTAAAGGCTCAGAAGTCGTTGGTTTGAGCCCGATCGAAGTCTCTCCTTTTTCTACCTCCCAGGGTTCAGAAATGAGTGTCATTCAGTAGGAATTGAACAGGAAGCTGCACTCTCTGCGTGTCAACTCTGCTTTTAAGATAAGGCACTCCTGGCTGATTCTGCGAAAATATGGATTTGCGCTCCACCATTCACTTTATGAAAAGAAGGAAGCCAGAAATAGTCCGTTTATAAAAGTATGAGGAAGACAGGCATTTCAGCAGTAGCAAACTTTATTTCGTTTCCTTTCCTATAGACTACGGTAATAATATTCGCTATGGTTGTTCAAAAATATTACCGTTCTTCAGTATAATCTTTGTAATTCCACGCTGAAGCCCAATATATGCGATAAATGTATATGGCCACAAAATTTACATGGCAGTGGAAATGAGGTTATGACAAGATGCGGCGTTGGCTGGATTTTATTTTCGGGGTATTTTAAGAGTTTCGTAGAGTTTACTACACTCATTCACAACTTCTACCCGTATTCTTGGCACGAATGGAATTGTTGACTACTTGTGGAATTCTTACGCATATATGGATGGATTGCGTACTTAATTTTTTTGAATATGCATTTTGATATTCTGCTTTTCATGTAGAACTGTTTGGGTTAAAGAAGTTGATGTCACCACCCCAAAAGTATTTGGCTCAATGCAGTTAGCTTCTTTTAGGATTTGGTTCAGGCTTCTACCGGTCAGCTGCAAAAGCACCTGTCGCTGATACTGGAAGCAGCGTTTAAGCACGTCTTTTCATGCCGATTGTGCTTTCAGAAAGGTTTCGTTTGTGAGCTGTGCATCAGTTCTGAAGTGATCTTTCCCTTCCAGTTGGACACCACGCATCAAGTATATATTTTTCTTATCTGTTTGTCTGTGGTTATGTTTATCAGCAATTTACTTAATAAACAATTCGTGCTACTGCTTTGTAAACTTATTGGTTACTTGAAGAGGTTTACGCAGTTCGCGCGAAGTTCGTATGCTTTCTTGCGTATGATCTATGTGACTGGATGATTAATGTCTTTGTAATGTGCATCTTCAGCCATGTCCTAACTCCGGCGATGATGATTCGCCCTGTACGATTCACAGGGCTTCTTGAGGTGGAGAAGTTAAGATTTTGCTTTGAACTTTTTGTCTCCTTTAAACATGCGGATTTCGTTCATCGGAGGCCGATTTTCATCGGCAGTTTTTTCTTTTTCTCTTCTGTAAAAGTTTTCACAAACCAATCTGAAGAACTGTTATTTGCAGAATTATGATTTGCGCATTTATCAGTTAAAGTTTTTACCATATTAAGTATTTCAGTGAAATATTGCTAAGTATTTAATATGCATCGTGACTTCTCAATTTCTATAGCACGAGCGATTAAGTGTTTAAATGTAATTGTTTTATCTTTAAAATTAGTCCAGTTATAAATAGTCTGAAATTCATTATTCTGTGATATGTGCATGGTATGCATGGTATCTGACACCTGGTTTGATTCATAAGAAAGATATGCTGAACTTGTTTAAGTACTGTCGCAAGACCAAGGTTTTGGCTGATGTTATCGGCCTTTTTCAACTGCATACAGTGTAATATCCAGAGATACTGTAACACTAGGCAGTTCGGATATAATTGGAATTGCTTTTTGCTTTTTCTTTGAAATTTACGTAGGTTTTCTGACGAGGAGATGTAAATCTTGATCTGTTCTTTTCAGAATTGAAAGCTTTTAGACGATTAAACATTTTCTGTAGTTGCGAACCGTTGTTACATTGGTTGAATCGTTAAAGTGTACGCGGTGTCTACTGTAAATTTGGTGAAAAGTTTTTTCCTGAGATTTTTTCTCAAATGTTGCTTTTCTTCGTTAGTTGGGTTCGTGAAGGACGGTGCTCTTTCGCTTTCTACTATCCTTGTTCATAATGGTTCAGCGGTTTAACCCGTTTGTCCCAGATGGCACTACTTTTGATCAATAGAATGTTTGACAAGTTTTTTGGCTCTTTACAAGTCTTGTCTTTATTCAGTCGCTGGCGAGATCTTAATTTATTGCTTGATTTGACGATGGTCCTGATCTTTATTTTTTTTCATTTCCTTGAACATTAGGATTTACTGGATCACTGAAACTTATGTAAACTTTTGACGACAGCAGAACGCGATTGTAATTACATCTTGACTATCTCATATTATCGTAACCTTGTTTGCAATTAACAGAGCTGGTAATGTCGACCGATCTTTGATCCTGTGCCAAAAATTTTACGTCTTCTGTATTTTCAACAAAGCTATATTTTCTTGATTAATTTGTGATTTATAATTTATTTAATTTAATATCATGGTTGTTGATGTTGCATGAAATTAATTTTGTTATTTTCTTTGAGAATTATTTCTTATCGAGTTTCTTAACCCTTATCAGAGAATACGTATACTTATAGTTAATAGTATGAGTATATAAATATCAGCAGTAAGTTTACTTACAGTTATTGCAAACACATTGTCCGTGATTATTGGAGTTACATGATGTTTATTATCATATCTGATACTCTTGTGACAAATTTCGTTTCTTGTAAAATACTGATGTCAATTAATTAGAAGGGAAAACAAATTTATTCTAGACGAAATTGAGGTCCAACAGATTTGCCCTTAGTGTTTTGACTTGCCATCGGGAGAAAGACTGATAGAGCAATAGAAGGAAGACTGCATGAGAGTCAGTTTAAATCTTAAAAACAATCGACGCTGAAGTGATGATGAGCGTAGAAGAAAATGTTAAATTTCACCGTTCTTCCCTCTGTGGTCTACAGCTATGTTCATCCACTTCGAAGGCCGATGGGAACAAACTGATTTGAAGCAACAATCTTTTCGGCCGAAAATAAAAAATGAACATTGAAAATAGAATTGTCCCAACCTACAAAATATTCGTTGACCCATGCTGTTTGAAGTATCATGGAATTATATATGTAGAGAAAGGGCTTTAGATTATCATACTAGAATGACGACGGCTAGCTTTGAAAGGAATCTTTGAGTAAATTGCGCAGGATTCTAAAAGAAATCTCGTGATCTTCTGTCTATGCAGATTAGTGGAACAGTGCTAAGGCTTCAATTTCCAATATATGTTATTTTCATTGATGGGTTTTCTGCTGCAATTGTTTCGTTATCCTAGAATAACATCGCTATTTGCCATCATAATGGCGTGGATATACGATGAGACAGTTGTTATTGAGAGATTCATGGACGGATTTCAGTTGAATTTCATAAGCAGCATTAGAGGCAAGGTGATATATTCTCTTGTTTGTTCTTCAACGACGCGATGGACCGTATTTTGTGAAATGTGACTGAATGGTACTACCACGAAGACGTATCTCAGGAACATGAGCGAAGCTGAATATATTTGGCAAAGATCCTGACCAACTTTAACTGAACGAATGACACTTTATTATTGGGCGACAATGACAAAGACTTTCGCTCGTTGACTGAACAGGTTTGCACAGTTTCAGCATGAGAAAACCTCCATCTGATGTCATCGAAAAGATAGACAGTGAAAGTTCAGTTCATTAACCGTGCTAAGATTTAACCGGAGGATTGAGTAGACTTTTTATACCTTCCAAAGCATGTCGAAAATGTGGCTTGAAAGCAGAAAATCAGTCTCGACCAAGAGCAGTATATATTCAGCAGTATCGCAGTATGGTGATTTTTCTGCACGAACTAGCAACAGCTACTTGTACAATAGGCAGGATTTGTGAAAAGCGTCAAGCAATACTGATTATCATGCTTACTAATGATCTGTTGGTATTTTCTTGTCAGAGACGATTGCATTCCAGCTATAACTGACCTTATGGACATATTTGCGGTGCTGCAAGGCAAAAGACAACAGACAGGTAATCAAGCCTTTCTGACTCGTCAGCTGGAAACCCAGTCATTAATGACGAAGGATAAGTGGCCAGCACATCAAATGGTAGAGTCGTTAAGTGAAGATCTTTTGTGGATGTGGAGTCTTTCCTTCGCTGATATTGTAAGCTCGTTTTTATGTGAAAGGGCGAAATATTGAGAAGAGCGGTAGTGTCAAATCTTAAGTAGCTTATGGTTTTGCTGCGCGGATAAGAATTGTGTTGGCAAAGCAGTGACAAATCGCCTTAACGCTTTAAGGCAAATGTGTAATTTTTCAGATTCTTCAGGCAATGCTGCCTTTTGTTTATTAACTAATTTATTATTTTCTGTTTAAATAACGCTTTTTAATATGAGTCTTGATTTAAATATTTTTCTGTTGACGTCGAAGAATTTAGTTATTTTAGTGCCCAAAATGCTTCTGTGTTTTGCACAAGTCATGCATCGATGGCCAGTCTTGTCCGAAGTGTGCTCGACACGAAAAATACCTGAAGCGCAGTGAACACCTTTCTATCTCCTTCGATAGTACTTTACCGCTGGATGATTTATGACCGTTTTATATTTGTGTTGTTGTTTTTAAGTTTTATCATATTTTGTTTTTCAGTTTAGTTATCTGGCGAGAATGTTTCGGTTCTTGTATCGAAAACCCGTTTTAATTATTATTAATGTATCCGCATTAAAGGTTTTATCGCAGATGTGCTTTTAAGTACTGGAAAAGCAGCTTTAGCTTTGCACGTCCCTATTACGAAATTTTAGCATAGGTAAAAGTCTGGCAAAACGTTTTATGCAGATAAATTGACATGTTTTTTAAAGGGAAAGGAAGAAAGTTTTCAATCGTTGACATATCTATTTTACACTTTCATGATTGGACCATTTCTGGCGTCATTCCTATTTCATAAAGCTTATAATTGGGCGTTAATCTCCATTTTAGTTCCATCAGCCAGAAGTGTCATATTTTAAACGCAGAATCAGTAGCGGCTATGTAGTGTATAATCTCCTGTCTCCTTCCCATTGAGTGGAACTCTTATTAATCTTGGAAGGAAGGAAGACGAGTGACCGTACCAGGCTCAAACGGATCGCTGGTTCTGAGACGAGCGCTCAACCGACTGAGTAACCCCATCTACATCATATTTTAATTCATCCTCGTTTTCGAAACACGTCCAAAACTAGACTGCAGTTTTTCGATTTCTGCATGACGTGAATCGGGATTTTTTTGTCGATCATTAACAGTCGAGTCGATCTCTGAACCTGCTAAATGAAGACCCTTTGCATTTAACTGAGCATGAGTTGCTATGTGGACTGTAAAAAGACATGTCATTGCAATCCAGTGTCAGAATTGCAATTAATTTTATTTGGGTGGAGCATTCAGAAAGCTGGGTGTTCGTGGGAAAGAACATTTTCGCTCATTTAGGCATATTGAATATGCGACTATTGTAGAACATACTGCAGACTAAAGATGTCCGATCAGCGAGATTGATGTTTTTGTTTAAGCTAGGAATTTTTGAAACTTTTAGCAAATGAGAATCGTTCATACATTGTAGCAGAGGAATTTATTCATATAGCAATCTAAAGGAGTGTCGTATGCTGGGAGTATTCCTCATCATATCAATTAACAGTAACTGGCATGCTATTAGCAAGGGTCAGAGGGTCATATTCAGAACTTTCGGTCATTGTTCTGTCGAAGGTAGAAGGTACAACAGCCACCTGGTAATCGATCTAGAAGAGGGCACCGAATAGCGCGAGTATAATAAAGAACAAGAACACCCGACCCTCAAGACTACAATCGATGGTTCAACTACTCTAAAACTATACATATAACGGATTTCATGCACGCCATTAAGAATTTCTGTATATACTTTGCTGTTGACGAAGAAACGCAAACGAGCATGCTACTTGTTCAAACTGTCAGTACCACCACCAGTCGAGATGTTCGACTACCGTTAGTTACATTCGCCAGTCTTGGGAAAAAAGTTTACTATACGGTATGTGGCTGTTCTGTGGATTTATGGCATACGTACAATCGATTTGGCTGAAATTTATAAGCAAGACCGTCTCAACGATAATCGACATAATTTTGCGGTTGGCAATCTTTGCTGACAACAGCTTTCAGTTACCTGCGTGTAAAGTTCCGGAAATCTCAGCATATTCGGGAATGAATGGTACGATTAGTGCCATCCAAGGCTGCAAGGAATTGAAGGAATTGCATCATCAATCATTTTCACCATTTCTCATCAAGACACTATAGACCCCAAAAACGGAAGTGTTTTATTGCATATGACCTCAGTTCGTGAAATTGTGAACGATGGGTATTCCAGTATAGTATCAATGATATTATTTGTTTTATCAGAAAAGCTAAGTATTGCTAATAAAACTGTGCTGTTCAAGCTAATGAACATTTTGTTCCAAATGTACATCAATCAGTAATCGTGCATCTGGCAAGAGGCTGCGCTTATCTTGTGGTTCCTCGAGTATTGCCTGCATGACATGATCATCTCACACAGTCTCAATAGTGCTCAAGCTGGCCTGTGAGCTTAAATCATTTATTACCTCTCTGTTTGAAACAACTCCAGGCACCTCACTTGAATTTTTCAAAGTCCATTCAACAGCCAAGTCAATTCAGATTGCTTAAACCTTCCCTCCGGAATACGGTAGGTTTTAATTTCTGGAAGAAAATCTCGCTACATGGAAGAAGTACTGCTGTTGCGGCTAAAGTAGCAGATTCTATGAAAATATATTTCATTAAGGGTAATTTTTGGCAAGATAACCTCCTCTGATGCTGTCTAACGAAACGATGCAATCCAGTAGTTCAACACAGCGAAATAAACTCAGGAGGATGTTCAGAATCTGTCTCGAGCATTTATACGTTCATTCCCAGAGTCTGGTTATGAACTGAATGATTGATCTTCTAAATACTCTGGTGCGATAGTTGCATGAGACGCATGTTGTCCAGGTACAGTACATGGCATTAGGGGCCGGCACTGCGCAAGATTATTAAGTAAACATGAACAAAATTAGCAGTGATTAACCGTCTTTCGCATGAATTCTTTCGCAACGGAAACCGAGGGTTAATCAAGATTGCGCTTGTATCAACTGGCTAATAACTTAAAGAGACTCATGCGACAAGAGCATCTGAGGCATCCCCAATAGCATTTCACTGGTATTTGTAGGCAGAGGTTCTTTACCTTAGACAAATTTCCCTCAGGCATCGCCGTTGACGAGATTGATCAGCTTTCTATTGCCATCGTTTCGTTTGCCGACCGTTCAGAGGTTCAAGACAAGCCTTGTTCATTCTCCTAAGTAACAATGATAGCTGTTTGTATGATTTGCTGTAGCTTGCGTTTCCGTAGTTCATTCATTGATTTGCTGTTCTCGATCTAAGTGATAATCTGGACTTATAAAAAGACTGTCATTAGTGTAAAGGTCAGTATCTTCCTGTAAGTGCAGAGAAATTGAGCTTTCAACGAATGCCGTTTCTGTAAGATACTGGGAGGAACTCAGTCGAGAGTATTGGGCCTTGTGTGCCTATCGCCAACAAACTGTCAGCCGTGCAATTCATATGCTTCTTGAATTTCATCTAATGCAGGCATGCAGGCAGGGCAGCTTCACAAGACATTTTCGTTGGAGGCTAATCAGTTAAACCATCATACCAAGTTGCACATGGTGCTAGTTTCGTCAAATTTACATTTAAAATGCATCAAGCAACTTAAGCCGAAAATTACGGTAAGTTTCTGACGTGCATGTGAAATTTCGCTGCCGCTCATCAAGCGTAGAAAAATTCGAAAGTTCATGTATTTATTCATCGCCGTTTCAAGCATATTCCAAGACAAGACTCAGTTCGATATTTTTTGGGTTTTAGCTCTTCATTCATCGTCACTCAGATTTGCATTTGGTACAAAAGCCAACGAAAATAAATCATTTGGACTGACGGATATTAAATATTCACCTCTAACGTTCTGTCAGCACTACTTAATATTTGCTGAGAGCTCTGGCAAATATTCGAAAATCGATAAGTTTTTAGGCCCCAAGGTACTTTACCTACAATGAAGACTGGTTTAGCGGGACGGCAGTTATTCATCTCAGCATTTTCGATTAAGCGCTAATCGGATGTCGACCGGCCGGTGCCTCGTTGTGATTGTGTACGAGCTGTGAGTTGGCTTCCAGCCTGCAGCGTGACGACAGATTTTTGACGTCAGGATTACAATTGGATAAGCCTGAACTCACGATACAGTCAGAGCTGCATGAAAAGGGTAAGGTCTAATTATCATACGTGAAGATGACATGGCAATCGTTCGCATAGCTTGACACTTACATATCATACGGACGAGCTCTAATTTTCAGCAACGTATTTTGTGTTATTGATGCATAACCCAAGAGTTATCGTTTGCAGGGAAATTACGGCACATGAATCTATCATCGCTTCAGACATGAAAACGATAACCTCGGTTCTGCAATCTGGATCTTAAGCAAAATATTTATTTGATGCACAAACATATCATTCTTTCACTTCATTAATACATGATTTTCATCTGAATATTTAAGCTGATGTCATGCTGAGGCACTATGCCTCTCTCTGGACGATATCATTTGATGTATGTACATGAGTTTCTTTCCCTGACAGAAGGATTTTGGGAACCTTATGATCTAATCTCTATAGAAAGCAATATTAAGCACATGCGACAAAAATGGCTCTTCTGGAACAGATCCTTGGACACACGCGTCTCGACATGCTCCAGAGCGCAGATGTCAAAGGCAGCCTTTTTATTCAGCCGCTCCTTCTCCGGACTGAGAACTCAAAGCGGCTATGGTTTGGGCAGGTTTTGCTAATGCCTTCAGAAAAAAGAACGAAAAAGCTACTACTCACCCAACCAATAGGCAGAAGACAAGAGGGTTGGGCAGCAATGACTTGGTCAAATTTTTCGACACACACACCTTCTCAGACTCAGGTTATCTCTTGCAAATCTGAAACGCTGATACGGGATCGAAAACGTTGGAAATACTGTTTGACAAATCTGCTTTTGCGACTCAAAAGGATAAGCGGTCATCGAAACTGACTGATAGGCTGATTGACAGCTGAAAAACCTGGTTGTGCCAAAACCGTGTTGTGCTGGTAGCGAGCTTCTCGTGGGGAAACCGAAGCCCCGCAAGGTCCGTCCGTAGTCCAGCATGCAACCTGGATGAACAAGGTAGAGACGGATCTGCTCTCAGAAAGAAAGAGAGGGATACCTCCTTCTACGACGTAATAGCCTGTGTCATAGAGGAAAAGTGTTGAAAGGCTGCGGATACAGCGAACTTCACAAACCAGAGTCGCCATGCTCATGGAAGCGGCTGACGGTGGTAATTTCAAAACACACACACACACACACACACACACACACA